TGTGCAACAATGTATACTACTACAAATGTGCTTCTATACAAGTACTTTCATTATCTAAGTTTAGTTACTTTTGCTATGTTCTTAACAAGATTTCAGAATATTCTGAAAACTTACATCTTCTATTAGCATGTTATTAAGAAAAACTGAAGACAAATCCTCTTAGACTTAATCCTTATTCATTTGAATAGCATTGTGCAGATTAATGCAAAGAGATGCAGTTTAAATAACTGTGGTTTAGTGTTAACATAAAGTATTAGGTATTAATGTTGCATCGTATCTCATATGTTAGCAACGCATATGTAGCTGCAATAGCTCACCAGATGTTCGATTTTATTAACTAGTTTGTAAATGGATGAATAAACACCAAATAAAGCATTACTGGCATAAACAATGACTATAGATGCATTTTAACATCTTTTCCTTACCAAATCTGTCCTGAATTGCTAATTAACTTTTTACAATTTAAATCTGTGTTCCAGCAATGGCATATAAGAAATAAAAATTAACTTCTTAATAGTTTAGTTTATGCTGCAGAATTGATAATGGATCAAAATGAATCATACAAAGGGTATTGTTTGGTTAAACTTAATCCAGTGTTGTCAATTAATTTTCTTGGCTATTTAAATTGCTAAGAGTTTAAGGCCAATTATTAAGGTTTTATGTTGCTTGCTGAGATTATTGAAGTAGATGATCAGAGACGTGCTTATTTCTTTTTAAAAATGAGAATATAAAGAGCTAATATATACTGAGTGTTTAAAACAGACTGTATGTTAACTGCCAAATTTTAATGGGTATTAAGCTTTTTCTATGTTCTCACTCGTTACTCAGATTTACATAAGAGTGTCCCAATGGAAAGTAAGCTAAAGTTAAAATTCAGTCCAAGACAATTTATCAAGATTATAGTAAGCAGGATTGCAGTCTTTAGATGCTTCCACTACTGCATACCAAATTATATAGATGATCACAATGTAGTTAATAGGTCCTCACAAATTTAATCAGTTAATCAAGATAGTCCAAACACACACAGTGAAAATGTTATTTTCTATTCCATAGAAAAATAAAAAATGTATTCAGGATCACCTTTGAATTATATATACTATAGAATTAATGGCTGAATTTGTACTTCAGGGTAAAACCATGGCTTAATTCACACTTGGTTTTTTTCCCCTAGATGGTCACATCATGTCATTATCTAAGTCTATGGTCTTAAGGAGTAATGTACATTCAAATGGGTACTAACAATGATTAGTAAATTGAATGTAACTCCATGGAATTTGGAAATGGCTTAGCAAGGAGTTGAAGAGTTGGAAAAAACAAGGAGAGGCAGAGGCAAATATTGCATAAGTATTATTTTCCAGGGATGAAGATGCATTACAAAATGTCTTGACAAAGGCAAATACACAAAAACACCCACATACTTTTGGCATGGTAAAGAACTGGAGCAGAGGACAGAATCATTAAACTACATACTGTATTATATTTGTATTACCTGGATGACTGATAAGTAAGATGGTTACTATTTTAATACTAAAATAAGCTTAACATTTATAAACAATCATTGTTGAATTCAAAATTCCAGAGCTAAAACTAGTGAAGCTATATCAGTTTCATACTTTTATAAAAAGGATTGGGGAATGAGGAGACTGTTAGTCTTTCCTTAAGCACGCAACAAGCTGGGTGACTTTGGGTGGGTGAGTCTCTCTTTGTGTCCTTCCTCCACTTTCTCGACTTGAAGGCATAAAGAAGGAAAACACCCATTTTACTAATCTAAAATAAAAAGTAGCAAATATTTGCCATGTGGTTGAAAAGCCTACTTTCATTCAAACCAGCTTTTTCGCAGTGGGGTGAAGTTTGCACAGTAATTGTAAATAATATAATTTTTACCTTTTCAATTATGTTTCAAGGTCATGTCTAAGTAGTAACAGTGCTTCCTATTTTTCCCTCTACAGTCAATAAATTGTTATTGTGACTATTTAAATTGTTTTATGTATCTATAAAATACATTATATTTTAATTTAAACAGAGGACACATAGTACATTCTTGTAAACTTTCAGTGATAATTGAAATAATATTCAGTAATATTTGACTTTTTAATGTTATCTAGCTATCCCAGAGTCACGAGAATTACCTGTATATCCAAAACATCGGGAAGATAGTAAGCTGGGAAACACAGTGTTCTAACTTCAAAATCTATCACAAGTCCATCTGTACCAAGTTCTAGATATATAAAAGCATTAAAATTACATTGTTATGTGGTTCAAACCTTCAAAATTTGCACACGTACATAGATTAAAAATATTATTTGAACCAAATTAGGAGCATGTTTCATTTGGCTTAGATGTTAATAACATGTCAGAGAGATGGCTTAGTTTACATATATAGCAGAATAAGTAAGGAATAAATTCGACCATCTCAGAGATCTCAGGTCTCTGCTACTCAAAGATCACACTTTAAAAACAAAATATAGTAATGGAAATCAAACCTTTGATTTCATCACCTCACCCAATAACTTTACATGAATGGGAAGAATGAAACATCAAGATAAAAACTGCATGTATTTATTTCTTCTAGGTTCTTTAGGAAAAAAAAACAGTTACCAAACTGTTATCATAATGAGCAAAAGTTATAGAAAATTGAAAGAACAATAAGCCATAGTATTACTGATAAACACCAAGGACATATTTGTATTCCAACACACTGTGCAAGTTAAAAATTTAAGAATTTGATCTAGACTTCAGCCTGAAATTATATGCAATTAGTGATTTTACTGAATTTATTACTGTTGTAGATTTGATTCTGCATCAATGAATTGTGCTGCTTTGCTTATAGAAAGTGTTTTTTTTAAAAAAAAAATCTAACTGGAGCTACCTCAGAAATTTTGGGAGCACAATGAAAAAGGAAGTGTGCACTGTAAATGAAAACAATATGAAAAGGACATTAGTATGGGAAACTCTAAGCACAGTGTTAAAAAAGAAGACAAATATTCTACAATCAGTGACTTCATCTATAATTTTGTTTGCTGTTTTGGTTACCTTGTCTCAAACTGAAAATCTGAAAAGGAAAAAGTGAACATCAAGAAAAAAAACCCTAGTGCATACTCAACTTAAGAGCAAGTTCCAGTGAAAACACAAAAGATTCAATGTGTTAATTTGGTAATCAAAGAATGTTCAATGTAATTGTAAATTATGAAGTGTGCAAACATGAACATTTTTCTCTCCTTATATCTAATAGAGCCTCATGACACAAACTCAACAGTATTTACTTCTAATATAGTATTGTAATGTAAAATCTGTTCCACCAGATACTGTATGCAGACTAGTACAGTAAGAGATAACAGGATGGAGTGTATTTTAGACTGATAGATATGGACAGTGTTTTCTTGTAAATTAGTTTATAAAACAGATAGGATTATAACACTCTCCCCAATCTACTTGACAGTTTGTGTGTCCAATTTGATGTGAAAACTTAGGTTACTTATGTCTTAACTCTGATATCTTAAGAAATTTAATCTTTAATAAATTAATCATGATGCAAGTATATATTCATTGCCATGCAGCATAACCTTAACCACTAAGAGAGTAATTTATATATATTCATCATCATGGTGTATGAATTATCCAAAAGCTCAGGGGCTGCCACAAAGAAGACAGAATCAAGCTATTATTCAAAGGACCTGAGGGCAGCTCAAGAAACAATGGATGGAAATTAATCAAGGACACAAAGAACATAGGAGAAATTTCCTGACAGAATAATTAATCAGTGGAACAACTTGCCTTGTAAGTTGTGAATCCTCCAACACTGGAGGTTTTTAAGAACATATTGGACAAACATTTGTCTGAAATGGTATTGGTATAGGGTTTCCTGCCTGAGCAGGGAGTTGAACACCTCCAAGGTCCCTCCCAACACTGCTGCATGAACTTAGCAAAACAATACATTGGCCCATTAATTCAGTAGAGTATTGAGTTAATATTGAGTATATAAACGTTTTCTGACGTTTTGGTAGATGCCTTGTCAGTGTAGGGGCTTCCGACATCAGGAAATACTAGGACAAAATTTGCTTTATTTGGTATGCCAAATTCTGACTATTACTTTACTCCTCTCTGCTGGCTGTTGCATAGCCTGACCTCGCATATATTTATTTATATAGAGCCTTATTAGCACTCCCACGCAAACATGAGTAACTGCAACTTTCCTTGAGAGTCGCAGACAACTAGATGCACTGGGAATTACTTCTAGGAATATCTTTTGTGCTGAAATGCCACTCGTTTGACCCTTCGGGCCGGGCACGTCAGCGCCAAGTTCCAAATCAAAACGGGCGGGAGAAAATACACCGGAACCCCCGATTCCCAAAGTCGGCAGGTAACGGCCGAAAACAAACCGGGATCGCACTCCTGGAATGCGAGCGCCGTTAAGATTTACTTCCAAGTAAAGGCGCACGGGATGAAGTGCAGCCTTTTCAAAGAAAGCCTAGTCGTGCCCAACGGTCAGCAATGCATAAGTTTGTGGGACGGAGGCATAAAAATCAGAATATTGGTTTTTTTTAAAAACAACAAAAAACACGAGGATATGTTGCCGATGCAATAGCATTTTGCTGCGGACGTTGCGCTATTTCTGGGTCGGATGCTTTCTCTGTCGCCGCGGGAGAAACCCGAGAATGGCGGGGAGAAAAGCGGGGACGTGGGGCTTCCTGGCGAAAGAACCAGTGGAAAAACAAGAGGGGGCCGAGGCGGAGCATTTGGGGAGGGGGGTCGACTCCGTCGCCGCTGAGGCTGGGCCTGAAAGCCGCCAGCCCGCTGCTTCCCCTCCTCCTCCGGGTTCGGGGGGTCCCCGGGCTCAGCCCCCGAACGCCCCTCTCTTCCGTTCGTCATGTCATTTCCTGTGCTAATAAGATGGTGGTCACGGCCAGGAGGGAGGGAGCCGCCGCAGCTGCCGCCTCCTCCTCTGCCACCGCGCCCGGCCCGGCCCCGGGACCCGTCCTCGCCTGGGACTAGCGAGCCAGGCTGGACTGGCCGGGCCGGCGCCGCAGGAGGAGGAGGAGGGGGCAGAAGAAGACGCGGGTGGCAGAGCGGGTGGCCGCCAGAAGAGCTGAGTTGCCCCCGGACGACGAGCCAGGGCCCCGCAGTGCCGAGGTGAGTCAGCCCTTCGGTAGCCAAGGTGGCGACGAAAATGGCTGCGCAGAGCAGGCGGGGCGGTGGGGGGAAAGGCAGCTGGGCGAGCGCTGGCTCGGGGTCTGGGGGCCGTTGCGGGCGGGAGGCCATCTGGGGGCCGTGGCTACGGTAGAGGGGCTTGCTCTGCAGTCCTCCCCCAGCAGTGGCGGCGGAGGGCGCGGCCAGGCAGGTAAGCAGCCGCCTCGATTTTTTCCCTCTTCCCCTTCTGGGACGAACGCTGAGCTCGGCGCAGCCCGGCCCCTTCCTCTCCCCTCCTGCCGCCGCTGCCACCGTCTCCTCTCCTGCCTTGCCTCTCCTCTCCCTCCCCTCTCCTTGTTAAACTACGTCCGGTGAGTGACGCGGACGCGCTCCAATGGGCGGCCGAGGAAGCCAGCGAGCGCTCCCATAGGGAACGTGTGGGCGGGGTCCCGAAGGAAGTGGGTGACTTTGGAAGGGCCGCGGGAAGAGGAGGAGGTGGAGGCGTCCGAAGTCGTGGGCGGGGCTTCTTTTTGCTCTATTTCTCGAGGAGCAATGTCCCACTCTAGAGAAAGTGAAGTTGGCTGCTGCGTCAACTGATTTTAGACTCCGTGCAAAAAGTGGAATTTGGATTCCGTGCAAAAAGGGTCATGGACTGTGCAGTGGTCTTTCCTATAGGCTGTTCGCTAGGCGATGAGGCAGAGGTGATTTGGATTAGAAGATACGATTGGTGTGAGCAGAAATATCTGCTACCGTTCAAGAATGCATAGTCCAGGAGACTGGCAAATGCCGTGTTGGCCAATTGCAGGAACGGAAAATAAAGCTGCCAATGTCAGAAATACCGTGCATCGTTCAGGTCACTACGGCGTAGTGAACCATCGCAGTCACAAAAATGACTGAAAGACTGAAACGATACCATACCCAGGAAAAAAATGATAATTTGGGTCTTGGTTTAGTTTGAGAGGAGTGTGATTGTACAAAACTATCCATTATGTAGAAACGCATGTTCTTCACTTAACTAAAACCTTGGGTCATCCAGAGAGGTTAAATGGTCGAAAAGTAATGACTGATAAAAAAGAAGAACTTGTGGTTAAACTTTGTCATTTAGATACAGTGAGACCTAAAACTTAAAAGGGGTTTAAAAAGGAGGAGTCAATCCATGGTAGATAAAGATGTTAATGGTTCCTGGTTATGGTGGCTTAATTTCTAATATAACAGGTTGCATGCCTTTTAAGACTTTTTTTTTAAGAAACATGATGTGGAGAGTGGTAATATCTCCTTTTTGGTTTGCAAGAAATCATTTTGGGAATGAATATGGATCTCTTGTCTGATCTGGATTGATTGGATTGGATTTATTGGATTTATATGTTGATCTAGTGTGGCTCCATTTATGTTATTCTTTTTATTGGTGTCTTTTTAAAAGCCACCCAAACATCCTATTGCCTGAATATTATCGAGATCCTTATTAGTAAATAAACTACCTTATTATTTAGAAGTTCCTTTCCATTCATTATAAATACAACCTTGAAGAAGTAGACTAGCCTGATGCTGCTACAGTATTTGTGTCTTTATTTCAGGGCTTCTGTCTTTCAGTCCTGTATATTTCATGTTATGAATTGTGTATAAAACAAATAAAATGAAGTAGGAGTGGCATATTAGCTATAAGCCATATTAAGATCAAGTGTATTTCAAGTCTTGAAATACAGGCAGATAGTTTCTCATCAAGAAAAGAGTCATCCTATGTAGGCACAGAGATACTGTTTTGCAGTTCCAGTAATTGCATTATTGAGAGCCAGGTATTTTTCCCCTGATTTTTTTTCTTTGTTAAAATATTTTCTCTTATTGCAATCAGTGAGAGGAAATTCCAGTACCAGCATGAAGCTAACATAGTTGCTCTTGTTTCCAGAACATTAAATTTTGGAATTTACTATCATTTTGAAGCATTTCAAGCTAGTGGAACTAGGTGTTAACAGTACCTTTTAAAATCCTGAAGCTATTTTTAAAAAAATGTATATTTTAAGTTGCCTGCATCAAAAAAGTGAAACCTGATTAATGTATCCAAAACTTCATGAACCACTATTATCAAAGGTGCTTTGTCAAAAGGTAACTGGATTTTGTTTTTCCTTGAAGATGTTTTGCTTCTCATCCGAGAAGCTTCTTCAGTTCCTCCTCAGAACTGAAGAAGCTTCTTGGATGAGAAGCAAAACATCTTCAAGGAAAGCTAAATAAAGTCCAGTTGCCTTTTGAAAAAGTTAAAGCTCTAGGCGTCTCTTTCGGCGCTTCATCTTCCGGAGTTCCTCAGTAAACCAAGGAGCCCTCCTGGATCCACTGCCTCGGATTGGCCGTAAAGGCGCAATCCGGTTAAGAGCCTCTGCCGCTGCTGAATTCCAGGCAGCAACCAGAGTCTCCGCCGGACTGCGGGCGAGGGTATCAGGAACAACACCAAGCTCCGTCTGAAAGCCCAAAGGGTCCATAAGGCACCTGGGGTGGAACCACCTAATCGGTTTCTCCTCCCTACAGTGGGGGTTTGGTCTCCGAAAGTCAAGCCTCAGTAGGTAGTAGTTAGAATTCCAAAACTAATTTGAAATCACATTATCTATTTTATTCCCCCAGACTTTATCAGTAACATCTTTAATTTTTAAAGATATTTTAAAGCTTTTGCGGAAGATTATATAGACTGCATAATCTGTGGTTCAGAACAGCTGTCCTTGCAAAGCTCAAGTAATTGTCAAATTGTAATTGTGTCAATAAAACACAGTTCTTTAATTTTAACTAATCTTGATATTTTGGTATTATAGATTCCTACATAAGTCTCAATGCAGTCTTTGATATGGAAATGATTCCATACCTCTCTTGTATAAAAATACAAGAGTAAATGCCAAAGTAAAAACTAGAGAAGACTCTTAATAGTTCTTCAAAAGAATGTTTAAGAGTCCCCAAAGTGGTCTACACAGTGAGAATATTGAAGGGAAGGATGCAGCATTTTGTGTAGAAATGGCAGGATGGAAGTGGAAATTCCTAGCAATCTTAACAGACACTGTCTTCTAATTCCATGGACAGTAGATACAAATGGAAAGTAGAATATTTCAAAAGCAACTGGCAAGAGTAGTGGTAATTTGAATCCTTGCCTTTCTTCTTATCTTATTCCAGGCTCGGTTTAACTGTGATGAACACTAGGAAAGTATACCCACAAGTGGCTGTTTTGATAATATTCTCTCTGATATGATGAAGCTTCTATAAATATGATCACAAAACATGAGAAAGGATCTTGGCACTGTACATAGTGCTTATTTGCAGTCAACATTGCTTTTTATCCCTGCTGTGCTCTGGGCTACCAATCCTTTGCATACCTTGGGAGATAGTATCAGTCACCATCTCCATGGAAATGTAATCCAAGTATTGGATACTATCTTCACTAGATAAATTACAGCATACCTTTTTATACACTGATTTTTTTTCCCTTTAAAGAGTATTCAGAGTGCTGGGCATTTGCCCACAAGATATTTACACTACTACTATTATTATATATACTTCATTCATTAAACATGAATTTCAGCCAACTGAACATTCAAAAATACATTACAAATGCCATAAACTGGTGCTAATGGTTGATAAGGTTTGCTGCCAGCATTCTAGGTATCAACCAAGTACCTTCTTAAAATATAAGATGTTCCAAGTAGCACAGTTTTTTGCAGTTCTGCTGTTGTTATTGCAGGAAGCTGCAATTTGTTGATGTATCTTGTAAAATTCTTGGACATGATGCAAAGTGACCCGATGACAAAGGGTATCACTGTTACATGCTTCATCCATAGCCGTGTAGTTTTGATGGAGAATGACTTGGTATGATAA